GCGCTGTTTGGGAAGCGCCTAAAGAGGCTATTATAGTCTAAAATTTTTTTTTAGCTAAAAAGTTACTTTTGCAAGCTTTTTCAGAAAAAAAAAAAGACTGCACAGCCGGCAGTGTAGGCAGCCTACACTGTCAGCTAGAGAAAATGTTCCATCAATGAACATTTTACGATTTTATCCCTTCATAGCAATTTAAAAAAATATTTTTTTAGGGATAAATTTGTCATTTTAATTTCAAACATCATTTCAACACATTTTTTAATACAACAACTCAAATAAAATCCATCTCATCTTCCCAAACACAAAAACTAAAATAGCCTACTAAAATAGCCACTTCCCAAACGAGGCCATTATTTCTTATGATATTTTTTAATTATTTAGGCTTTGTTTGGCATTATCTAAAAAGATAAAAAAGTCAGTATCCTATTTAAACCATATCATCTTATTTAAATCACATTACCTCTCTAACACATCACTTCAAACACAATCCATACCCAACTCATATTTAATAAAAAGTAAAAAAGTACACTTATTTAGATCATCCCAAACCAACCCTTAATATAAAATTATAAAACTTAATCCCATTTTATAATTGATAAAAAAAATATTAAAATTCATAAAATATTAGTATTTTTAGATCATCCCAAACCAACCCTTGTTTGGAATTTTAATATATTTTTTTTTATCAATTATAAAACTTAAAATTCATAATTTAGATCATCCCAAACCAACCCTTAATATAAAATTATAAAACTTAATCCCATTTTATAATTGATAAAAAAAAATATATTAAAATTCCAAACAAGGGTTGGTTTGGGATGATCTAAAAATACTAATATTTTATGAATTTTAATATTTTTTTTATCAATTATAAAATGGGATTAAGTTTTATAATTTTATATTAAGGGTTGGTTTGGGATGATCTAAATAAGTGTATTTAAGTTTTATAATTGATAAAAAAAATATTAAAATTCATAAAATATTAATATTTTTGGATCATCTCAAACCAACCCTTGTTTGGAATTTTAATATATTTTTTTTTATCAATTATAAAACTTAAAATTCATAATTTAGATCATCCCAAACCAACCCTTAATATTAAAATTCCAAACAAGGGTTGGTTTGGGATGATCTAAAAATATTAATATTTTATGAATTTTATATTTTTTTTATCAATTATAAAATGGGATTAAGTTTTATAATTTTATATTAAGGGTTGGTTTGGGATGATCTAAATAAGTGTACTTTTTGACTTTTTATTAAATATGAGTTGTGTATGGGTTGTGTTTGAAGTGATGTGTTAGAGAGGTAATGCGATTTGAATAACATGATATGACTTAAATAGGATAGTGACTTTTTTATTTTTTTAGATAATGCCAAACAAGACCTAAATAATTAAAAAATATCATAAAAAATAATAATTTATAATTGATCGAAGATATAACCACGTCTATCTGTGAATCAACCAATAATTTATTTATTTATTTTTTTCTTTAAAGTCAGCTCTCTCTCCCTCCTCCATTACAATCATCATTAATGGCATGGCATGCATCCTGCCAAAATAGAACCCGTTAACATAGGTGTCAACGTTTGATACGGTGTCTGTAAATTTGGTATTTACGGCACATCCGTGTGAAACTTAATCCCTATTGAGAGAGAGAGAGAGTCTTGCAGGAGGTTTTTTTATTTTTTTTGAACTGTGAATCTTGCGGGAGGTTTAAGTGGGAACTTTGGGCATTTTATATTACTTTTCTTTTTTTTTTTCTTTTTTGACATTTTATAATAAGATAAATTATAAATACATTTTTACGTCTAATTAAAATATGAATTGCTTCTTTAATTTTGAAAATTATATTCTATTTCTGATGTTTCTAATTTTATAACAAGTTGTCTCTTTTATTAATTAATCATTAAGTCAATTAATTTTTTTTAATAATGTTAGAAATATATTTTAATTAATAATTTAAATAATTTTATTTTTATATAAGATAGTAATTATAAATTTTATTTTTTAGTTAATTCTTTTAAATAAAAAATTCTAATATGTTTTTGTAATTCACCTTTATAATATGTTCAGGTGGAAGTGGGCAACTCTTTGGGCATTTTATATTATTATTATTATTATTTTGGCATTTTATAATATGTATAGGTTGAAGTGGGAAGTTCGATGCGCATTTTAAAGGTTATTTGGATAATCTAAATAAATCTTTATTTGGGAAATGTTAAAATAATTTGATTTTTAATTTTTTAGTTATTTTAATTTGGCTTTTTTAGCTCTATTTAGTTTTTGTTTTTGACTTTTTTGACTTTTATGAGAGAAAAAGTGTAATGATTATGATTTGAATATAACATTTTGTCTTATTAGTTTATGTAGCTGTGGGGAAGTGGTTTGGAAATACTCTTTTGATCTTGTAGGACGCTCGTGATCCTCAGCTAGTCACCTGAAAATGAATGAACACTTCGGTCGAGGGTGCCGGAATTAGCACTCCGATGAATAAGTTAGTGTATCTTGGTTGCTTATAACTCAAGTTAAACTTTTTCTCACATACCTTCCTTTGGGCTGGTGCTTCTCTGTTTATATTTTTTCCCTTGGGCCTTAGGGTCGGGCCCACCCTCGATCTATTGCACATTTATTTATTCGGCTTTTGTTCGGCTAGTTGGAATGCTGGTTAGGACTATTCAGCTCTATGATCGTCTAGGATTAATGTCGAATACAAATTCCGTCCTTGACTATCCTCGTACATTTATTCGGCATTATTGCTCCCAAAATATTCGGCTCCCACAATTGCCCCCCAAACATCCTATTAACGCCAGTTATTCGGTATGTTTTGTTTCGAACGGCATGTTTGCTTTCGAATTTGAAAAGTCAAAGAAAGAACGGTGGCTAACCTCACCTCAACGTATGTCAGAGCACACGCTTTTTAGGCATTATTACATCTTCCCGCCTCTTCGTAAGCTTTCTTCATTTAATGCGATTTGAAACTATATTGTCGCCTCGTATGTGAGTTCTTTTCAAATACTCAAAGCTTCTGGTTTACCTTTCGATATACTTCCATTTCGCGACCTCTGCAACTTCCTCCTGTCTCTCATTATCTCTTCTGCTTCTTGTAAGTTTTCTTCTCCTTCACTTCAAATCTCATTTCCTCGTTTATTTTTAGTTTTGCATAATCCTTAGGCTGGCTAGGATGCAAAACATTTGAAAGAACTCATTTCTGCGGATCGAATTTTCGGCTTTCGACGCCATTGTTCTATCCCCGACAATGACGATGTCCATCTGTCACTCGTGGCAGACAGCACCACTTATATGGAGAGGACTGATGAGAGTACAATCATTTTTCCTCTCCTATCGATCGCTGAGAGCGGAATCCGTTTTCCCCTTCACCTATTTTTAAGGGCCGTCCTTCGACACTAGAGTCTAATCCCTTCCCAGCCTAACGTAAATTTTTTTCGAATCATAATGGGGATTATAGAGTTGAACCGACGCCTTAGGATTAACCTAGGTATACCTGCAATTTGGCATTGTTATGCCTTAGCCAAGTCCATTGGCCAGCCAGGACGCTATTTTCTCAAGGCCAAGGATACCGATCATTACTTAGTGACTATGCTTGCCAGCTCTAGCAAGCGTGTTGACGATGTAATGGTCGTTGTCCGAGGCAACTAGGAATTCGGCGAGGGTGATGATCCCCTAGATCCCGTGCCAAGATGACAAGGCGAACCAGGTAGCTGTATAGCTCATTTTCGTTATTTTTCTATTTTTTATTATCATATATGTATTCGGCTTCTCTTCCATGTACTAACCATTTTGTTTATGCAGGCAACGATTTGAAGAAAGTGTTGGCTTCAACCGATGACGCAGTACTTGCGGAAATTAAAATTGCACTACAGTCCGTTGGCCGTCCAAGCCTTCAAAAACAAGGGAGGGCAGCCCATATTCTCTTGCGATACGAGCCGACTTACGCAACGTTTTCGGCGGCGGACCACATTCTAATTCCGAGAGGCGAAGAGCATCTTACAGCCCTTATCTTCCCCAACTTCAAAAACTTAAGGTAGATTGGTTTGGAAGCCTCCGATTCGGAGCACGTGGAAGAACAAGCAGCCGAACTGGTCGCCGAGGACCCGAACCAGTGGGAAGCTGAGGTAGACAAGGCTCTTAACTCAGCCTTTGAGGAAACCGGACTCAATTCGTCTTACCCTCCATCCACATCAAGGCGAGGGGACGCCTCCCTCGAAGACATTTTTACAGACTTAGGAGACCTTCCTGGCACCTATCTTGAGAATATGGCTGGGGAGTCACTCACGCAACTTGCCAGGAGAAAAAACACTAAGAGGATGACCGCTCGATGGAGAGCCGAGGCCGTCCGATCGGAAACTCCACCCACCACGGTCGCTGAGTTCTCTTTGCCTGTTATTGCGAAAGAAACGACTCAGACCAAAACGGTCGAGACGGAGCAGGTAGAACGAGGGGATAAGGAGGCTGAGCATAGGGGGAAAAAGCGCCCCGCTGAGCAAAAAGCCATCTAGGATGAGGAACAAAGCGATAAACGGCCGCGCATTGAGGAATCAGACTTGGTTGTTCCGTTCACTATTCAACCAAGGATAAGGAATATGCCGATTGCCTCTGATGCGCCAGCTTTAAAGGACTCGGCCGTGGCCTTGAGTATGACCTCCTCAATATTCCTGCCGGTTGACAGAGACGCATTTCGGGCGGAGCCAGACCTAAGGCTAATTGCTTTAGTCGCTCAGTCGACCTTGTACACATTACTTGCCTTATCTGCAGTCTTCTGACTAAATACATATATATATATATATATATATATATGTGTGTGTGTGTGTGTGTGTGTATATTTTCTTATTATTTGTTTGTTGTAACTCTATTTCCTTGTTTTGCAGACGGTGGGCAGGATAGTCGAATCGGCCGCTGTTAACATGATGCCATAGAACAAATTAGCTTCTTGAAAGCCGAAATTGATAATGAAAAGAACAAGGCTGTGGCAGCCTCTCAAATGGCTGATTCCGAGGCATCGCAAGCAGCGGAGGAACGTACGAGAGCCGACTCCAAGGTCGAGCGAGCTAGGAATTCTGACCAACTAAGGCTTGCCGCCAAAGAGAGGGCAAAAGCGAGTGAAGATGCGCTCAAGTTAGCCAAGGAGGTGATCGCCAAGGTGGAAGCCGATTTGGAAGGGAGCAGGTAGAACGAGGGGATAAGGAGGCTGAGCATAGGGGAAAAAAGCGCCCCGCCGAGCAAGAAGCCATCCAGGATGAGGAACAAAGCGACAAACGGCCACGCATTGAGGAATCAGACTTGGTTGTTCTGTTCACTATTCAACCAAGGATAAGGAATATGCCGATTGCCTCTGATGCGTCAGCTTTAAAGGACTCGGCCGTGGCCTTGAGTATGACCTCCTCAATATTCCTGCCGGTTGACAGAGACGCATTTCGGGCGGAGCCAGACCTAAGGCTAATTGCTTTAGTCGCTCAGTCGGCCTTGTACACATTACTTGCCTTATCTACAGTCTTCTGACTAAATACATATATATATATATATATGTATATTTTCTTATTATTTGTTTGTTGCAACTCTATTTCCTTGTTTTGCAGACGGTGGGCAGGATAGTCGAAATCGGCCGCTGTCAACATGATGCCATAGAACAAATTAGCTTCTTGAAAGTCGAAATTGACAATGAAAAGAACAAGGCTGTGGTAGCCTCTCAAATGGCTGATTCCGAGGCATCGCAAGCAGCGGAGGAACGTACGAGAGCCGACTCCAAGGTCGAGCGAGCTAGGAATTCTGACCAACTAAGGCTTGCCGCCAAAGAGAGGGCAAAAGCGAGTGAAGATGCGCTCAAGTTAGCCAAGGAGGTGATCGCCAAGGTGGAAGCCGATTTGGAAGAATCGAAGAAGGCAAAGGAAATAGCCAACTCCAAGATTTCCAAAGCGTTCCAAGTTGGGAAGGACGCCGCCCTGGACAACTATGTGGAAGAAGTGCCCAAGTTCGAGAATCGGGGCTTCAAACACGGCTGGCTCAAAGCCCTCACTGCTGTGAATGTGACATTCGCAGCCAATTCCATACGAGCAGGTGGACGTTGAGCCGCTGGCGTCTGACCTTGAAAACTGATTAGGAAATATTTTTGTTTTTGGTAGGCATGTTAGATGTATAGTTTTTGTAGGTTTTTGTTAGTAGATTTTCATTCCTTTAAATGTAAGCTGATTTTCATGTGTAAAATGACTGTCGTTTGCGCTCAATTTATTAATGAAAATTGTCTATGCTTTCCAATTTACTGCATGTATTATTTGTTTTTTATTTATTAATGACAATTCCATATGCTTTTCTGTTTGCTACATATGAGTAGATTATACATCCAATAAATTAACCGAATCAAGTACACATCCTCTGCCTCTTTGCTCTTTAGCCGAATAACTAAAAGAGTCGGCAGTTGACAATTTGGAAATGCATGAATATTCGAGACTAACGAGTAAAACGGCTCAAGGCCCCGACATATGGCTGATTAGATTAATGAATTTGCCCTTGCCATAGCTAGTGGATGAACTGGGACGCCGAATGACATTAGCTCATGGAGCGGCTGGGGCACATTCATTGATCGGCACCAGGTCTGGGCATTTGTCGATTAGGTTAATAAATATGCCCTTGCCACAGCTGGTGCATGAATTGGGACGCCGAATGACATTAGCACGTGGAGCGGCTGGGGCACATGAGATGATCGGCACCAGGTCTGGGCATTTACCGATTAGATTAATAAATCTGCCTTGCCCCAGCTGGTACATGAACTGGAGGGCCGAATGATATTAGCTCATTGATCGGCTGGGGCACATTCATTGATTGGCACCAGGTCTGGGCATTTGCCGATTAGATTAATAAATCTGCCCTTGCCCTAGAAGATTAGTGAAGATGGCCAATGATTATCGGTCGTTCATGAATTGTCTAGGGTAACCTATTTGTTTGGCACAAACGACTTATGTAAGGCCGAATAGATTAATTAATCTGCCCCTACCCCGGCGGATTAGTGAGTGTTGCCGCCGATTGTCAGTCATTTATAAATTGGCTGGGGCAGCGTTGAAGGGATCGCTTTGGAAGCGGTGCACCCGTGGTTAAATAAAAAGGGTAGTTGCTTCGTGCGTGTAGGTCCCATTAATGCGTTCAGATTCAACTCAAACTAGTCTGTCGAAGAAGGTTAGATAAGTGTGAATGTCAACTGGACTATTCTTCAACAGTAGAGGAGAACGTAGGACATTGGCTGAGCTGGACTCAGCGATGAATCGAGGTGGGGAACCTTAACGAACGAGAAATAAGACGTCTGGGGAGCGGGAGAGGCGTCACTCTCCACGTTGTCGATGCAGGCCACCTAGGAGGGAGAAGCGATAGTGGGGGAACTCCCCTCATTCGCAAAGCGAGGCCAGTGGGCCACTACGCCGTTGAGTTTTTCAGTCTTTATCGGGAACAAACCGATGATGGAAGCAGATTCGATCATCTGAGATCCAAGTATGGTAGTCAAATTTGCACAATAGATTTTTTCGCTGGAAGTCCAACAGTCGATGATTGGTTGACAAGATTTCGAAGTGTTTCGAGAGGACATTCATGGAGCGGTGCAAGGACTATATACCACCTATGAGATCAGCATGCGCCTTCGTGCCGCGTGGCGGGAGATCGAACAAAAAGATGAACGCATTCATAATTTAGAGTCCCGCGCGGAGAAAGCCGAGCAGGAGTTAAGAAAAGTCAAATTGCCGAAACTCAGTCGGCCAGCCTAGCTAACTCGATTGTGGAGGAAAGGATGACCCAGCGTCTTTTAAGTCACGCGATTCCCGATTGCGATACAGTAAACATGTTTGCAATAGAAGTTGTAAAGACCAGGGCTTATGAACAAGGCTTCCATGCATGCCGAAAAGTTAGGATAGAGAAGATGAAGGAAAAGCTCGCCAAGGAGGTTTGTCGATGCGAGAATTGTGGATTTAAGCATGGATGGGTCAAGGCCCTCCATGCCGCGGAGGCTCTCTGAGCAACAGGCGTTGACTCGGCGTCACCTTTGTATCAGGGTCATTATTTTCCCTTCTCGACTTTCGAAGTCAAGAAGAGCGACAACGAGGGTGATGCTGAGCAAAACTGAATGTAACGTACCACTTTAACATGAATTGGAAGCTAACTATGTATTCTCCATTATTTTAATGAAACATATTCTTTTACACGTCTGCATGTTAATTCAGTCTATGTTTATAGATTCAGCTACGGTCATCTTTCATATGTCAATCACAATATTCAAGAAGAGGGCTCCGAATTCAGATGCTCTTTCGTGCCAACCGTGCTCACGAAGGGCACTCTGAATCCAGAATCTTATTCGGCCCAAACGTGTCTTGCACGGATGGGGCTCCGAATTCAGAGGCTTTTAACTTGGCCAATCGTGATATCATCGAAGGGCGCTCCGAATCCGGAGTCTCTCTTGGCCCAAAAGTGTCATTCACTGATGGGGCTCCGAATTTGGAGGCTTTTAACTTGGCCAATCGTTATATTCACGAAGGGTGCTCCGAATCCAAAGTCTTATCTGGCCCAAACGTGTCTTGCACGGATGGGGCTCCGAATTCGGAGGCTTTTATCTTGGCCAATCGTAATACCCACGAAGGGCACTCCGAATCCGGAGGCTCACTCGGCCCAAAAGTGTCATTCACTGATGGGGCTCCGAATTCAGAGGCTTTTAACTTGGCCAATAGTGATATCCACGAAGGGCGCTCCGAATCCGGAGGCTCACTCGGCCCAAAAGTGTCATTTACTAATAGGGCTTCAAATTCTGAGGCTTTTAACTTGGCCAATCGTGATATCCACGAAGGGTGCTCCGAATCCGGAGTCTTATCCGGCCCAAACGTGTCTTGCACGGATGGGGCTCCAAATTCGGAGGCTTTTAACTTGGCCAATCGTGATATCCACAAAGGGCGCTCCGAATCTGGAGGTTCACTCGGCCTAAAAGTGTCATTCACTGACAGGGCTCCGAATTCGGAGGCTTTTAACTTGGCCAATCGTGATATCCACGAAGGGCGCTCCGAATCCGGAGTCTTATCCGATCCAAACGTGTCTTGCACGGATGGGGCTCCGAATTTAGAGGCTTTTAACTTGGCCAATCGTGATTTCCACGAAGGGCGCTCCGAATCCGGAGGCTCACTCGGCCTAAAAATGTCATTCACTGATGGGGCTCCGAATTCGGAGGCTTTTTGTAATAACCCTCATTCTTGCCTTAGTCACGTTCATGTGCATTTGCATGATTTTGTTTTGTTAAGTTTGCATTTGTAAACTTTGACTTGTTTTGCCTAAGTAAAAGTCCCTGTCTTGTTTTGTGCTTATGTGATTTGCTGTCTCAAGCCTAGGTCATCTTAAGCCTAGGTCATGCCAAGCTTAGGTCATGTTAAGCCTAAGTCGTGCCAAGCCTAGGTCCTGTTAAGCCTAGGTCATGCCAAGCCTAGGTCATGTTAAGCCTAGGTCATGCCAAGCCTAGGTCATGTCAAGTCTAGGTCATGTCAAGTCTAGGTCATGTTAAGCCTAGGTCACACCTTTGAGCCTTTTACACCTAGGCCGTCGAGCGCCAACACCTAGGACCATCTTGGAACCACTTTGGTTGACCTCCACCTTCACCCTGGCATATTGGCCGAGATGTCATCATCTAGGCCGAGGTGTGCATCATCTAGGCCGAGATGTTATCCTCTAGGCGTCCTAGATCTTTGATCCTTGCACCTAGTGATCTTATTCCTGGACTGGTATGACCTAGACCGAGGTGTGAGGTGTGGCACAGCTAGGTCAAGTGTTTTGCTTCCTAGCCGAGATCATTGAAACCTGCTTGCCGAAGCCTATGTCCTAATCCGAGATCATTACCTGCCGGAGTGCCCATGTCACCTTACTTGTTGTATACACTTTGTCATGCTCTTGTCTTGTCAGTCAGTCACCTTTTTTACGAGAGCCAACCAGTCGTTGCCACGTGTCCTAGCAGAGGGTTAAGTCAGCCGGTAGTATAGAAAACATATCATTTTGTCACATCTTTGCCTTTGAAGAGAGAGAAGCTCTAGGAAGAGGAAGAAAAGTTCTTAGAGAGAGAACTAAATTTCCAAGCTTGATCTTCACACCTTGAACCGTTAGATCCGTGTTTTGAGGTTAGATTCTTGATCTACTCTTGTTGTTCTTTATGTTGATCCGATCGCATTGCATGATCTAGCATGATTCATAAGCCATGCATTGATTTAAAGCTTATTTTAGAAAGAGAAAATGATGTTCTTGTGTTCTTGAAATAAAACCATGTTTTGATCCGAAAGTTTGTATCAAGATCCATGTTTTTGTGTTTATTTTCATAAGATCTTCATGTATGGGTACCCAGGTCCATGTTTTTGAACTCATCTCATGAAATCTTAGATTTTGAATAAAGAAGTTATGATTTTAGCATTCATGTTCATGTTCTTCATGTTCTTCAAGGGAGGAAACCCAGATTTCCAAACTCCACCTTTCCCTAGGTGTGGTCATCGAGACCACTCTTGCCTAGATCTCATACCTAGGCCAAGCATCGTATCTCACCTTGGTCTACCTTGCATGATCACTTGTACCATTAGTCTATCTTGCATGCACACCTAGGCTAACCACTTCACACCTAGGCCGACCATGGTACACCCTTGCCGGTACCTTGTAACACCTCGGCAGGCAGCTGCACACCGAAGCTTAGGTAACCACACCTCGGCCAAGAGGTGTGGGACCTCGGCCAAGACCTCCTAAGTTCACCCAGCTAGGTCATTTTTGCCTAGAGCATCTCTGTACATCCATTCCAAGCCCTGGTTGGTACCCAGCATGTTTTCCCTAGATGACAAAACAGTGATTTAACTCCCAGCATGTTTTACTTTGTCATGGCTTGGTTTTGGAAAGAAATGCCGGGATCATTTACACTCATGTAAAGCTTGTTTTAAGAATGCATTTCATATCCATCTTTGAGCATCTCTTCTTGTCTTCTTAAAGTGCATTTAGTAGACTTTATTATGTATTTGTAGGTCTTGGATCCTTGCCTTAATCCCTACACCCGAAGAGCTATGTGAGTGGTATTTTTAATAAA